AACTGGTTACACTACAGATCTGCCGTGGCTATCCATTACTTTTTGACCCGAAAAATAAGGTTCCTTCTCAGAAATTATTGAATTTTTTGTTTTCAGATTTCTGAAGTATTCTCATTAAAAAAAATTTTATTTTGAAAATTTCATTGGACAGTTGTCTGTGTGAAAGCAGAGACTTGTGCAGGTTTTGCACCTCGCTGCTTCTACATGAACGGAACTGATGGTGGCTTCGGTTCCCAAGTTCAGCTTCGTCCGTTTCAATAAACCCAAAAAAGACTGTCCTGTTGATGGGATGGCAAAAAATAGTGCTTAGATTAAGTATGCATTTTTATGCGTTTTGTGTTGTGTAACAGCAGTACAAAACGCATATTGTCACGAGGTTGCCTGTGTGTGTGTTTGTATATATATATGTGTGTGTTGTTTGTGTATATATATGCTTGTATATATACATATATGTATATATATATGTATGTGTGTCCGAGTGCGGGAACTCAGGAACCACGGGAGCTGGGACGCTGAAATTTTGCAAGAATGTTCCCCGTCCACGTATGATCCCGCAGACTTAAATTCGGCCTTCAGTTATCCGCGGGTACCACGTATGATCTCGCCGAAGTGTTGGTATAGGGAATGATTATCTTGGGAACCATGAAAGTTGGAGAACTGAAATTTTGCTAGAATGTTTCCCGCCCACGTTTGACCCCGCAGACTTATATTCGGTCTTGAGTTGCCCGCGGGTACCACGTGTGACCCCGCAAAAGTCTTGGCGGGAAAATTATTATCTCGGGAGCCACGAAAGCTGGGAAGCTGAGATTTTAGTGAAATGACCCCCACCCACGTTTGACCCCGCAAACTTAAATTCGGCCTTCAGTTACCTGCGGGTACCACATATGACTTCACGCAAGTTTTAGCGGGGAAATTATTATCTCGGGAACAACGAAAGCTGGGACGCTGAAATCTTGGTAGGATGTTCCCCACCCAAGTGCAACTTCGCGAACTTAAATTCGACTTTCTCTTACCCGCGGGTACCATGTATGACTCCGCAAAACCTTTGGTGGGAGAAATTATTATCTCGGGAGTCACGGGAGCTAGGAAGCTGAAAATTCTTTAACAGAATTTTTCCCGGCTGGGTACGACCTCTCCGGTTTGAGTTCAGCTTCCATTTACCCTGGGGTACCAATTATGGTCTTCACTTACTCGCGAGTACCACGTATGACTCCCCCAATGCTTTGGTGGGGGAAATTATTGC